GAGAGAGAGAGAGGGGGGGAGGGAGGAGGAAAAGAGAGATATATATGTTGTCACGCCTTTTTCAATATTCGCCGGGCGCGACGAAGAAAGAGGCGGCTTCGGCGGCCGATTCGCGGCCGTCGCCGTTCCGGGCCGATCGCCGGAACGGACGCAAAGAACGAAGGCAAAGTTGGGCGCCAGACGCGCTCGCGGGCGGCGTCGAGTTAATACCGCGAGACGGCTCAAAGCACGGAAACCGCGGCGTCGATCCGCTCGACGCGCGCCGATAATCCGCCTCCTCGACGCGACAAGGGCCGGCTGCTCGTTACTGTCGGTAGAGTGGCGGGGTCCCGTAATGAGCTAGTTTACACCGTGAATTTAGGCCACGACCTATACCTTATATTCAACCCAAACACGATAGGTCGCGACGATGTAAACAGTTGCGATCTCGCTTGGGTCAGGTCTCTTTTTCGCGTGCCCTGACCTAAATTAGGTCACACAACGTAACGCGTGTAAACGCAGGTGACCTAAAGATCGCCTAAAGTGCAGAGTGTACCAATAGAGTGTACCACTGGTAGATGGCTCTGCGTTTACAAGTTTTTGTGCGAAAATTGAATAAGGTTAACGGCTCGACCGCTCGACATCGACAATAAATATATTTCAGAGTACGAGCAGATTAATCCGTTCAAATAAGTTCCCGTTATTGAGCATGACAGCTTAAAACTTGCTGAAAGGTATCGCTCTCTCAGCAAAATAATATATATACACTGAAAAAAATAATCGGGTAAAGACAACCAAGTGTCGGAGTTGCGCAAATTTAGTTGCACAAACTGGTATCGAGTCAAATTGACTAAAATTCGAATTAGTTCTACAATGTGACGTAGTTATTTGTACTCTAAAATTTAGTCAACAGTAAAAGGTTAACTGAACTCAAACATAGTTATATGTACAATGTATAATGTTGTTTGAACTACCAGAATTATAGTAACTTTACCTGTGTTTGGAGGGTCAAATCAAACTGACAATAAGTACATTGAATTCATTATTTGGATAATTAGACAACATCTGCGTAATAGCAGAGAGAAACCTGAGAGCGGCCATCCCGGCGTTTTGCCTGTTACCGTTTTCGCTGGACTGATTCCAGCGCTTTACGCCCATTTCCAATTTTGGAACTATTCCGCTACACCCATTTTCAAGTACTGCCGATAAAGTCTCCACTTGGTGCGTGTCCGTGGTTGTATTCCGTGCTGCATGCATGAAATGTCGGTAACAGGAGAGTGTTATTGATTTTTCGTAACGGGAGCGAGCGAGAAGGTATACTTATAACCTTCTCGCTCGCTCCCGTTACGAAAAATCAATAACACTCTCCTGTTACCGACATTTCATGCATGCAGCACGGAATACAACCACGGACACGCACCAAGTGGAGACTTTATCGGCAGTACTTGAAAATGGGTGTAGCGGAATAGTTCCAAAATTGGAAATGGGCGTAAAGCGCTGGAATCAGTCCAGCGAAAACGGTAACAGGCAAAACGCCGGGATGGCCGCTCTCAGGTTTCTCTCTGTTTCTATAGTCAAAGGTTAAGCCTATCACACAATGTCAGGCAACAGGCAACAGGAACAGGGAATAGAATTTCTGACGCGTTGGATTGGTTGGAAGAAAATTTTCAACGAATCCAACGCGTCAAAAATTCTATTCCCTGTTCCTATTGCCTGTTGCCTGGCATTGTGTGATAGGCTTTAGACCAGGCAAAGTGGAGGCAACTAGCAGTCCATGCAAAGGATTATATAGGCCCGGTTTCACCAACGCGAGTTAATCTAATCGGTCGGTTAACTTAACAGGGTGCCAACATAAAACTTCTTTAGTAACCTATTTTCTTGGTTAATAAAGAAGTTTTATGTTGGCACCCTGTCAAGTTAACCGACCGATTAGATTAACTCGCGTTGGTGAAACCGGGCCATAGTCAAAGGAACCTACGCAAGTTAGTTACTGTGGTATCAACTTTGTAACTAGAAATATAGCTAATTCGGAACGCACCCACTGTGCTTGCGCCGCGCCTTGTCGTGTAAACGAGCCTATAATCTTTGGTCTTACGCATGCGTAAAAATTTAGTTTACCCATCGTTTCTATTTAGGGCTATATTAGCTATACGTTGCATTACTTCTCCATGTGTATCTCAACTTCCTTCGAATATCTTGTAGAAAATATTGTTTTGCATTAAAAATGATATTTGTACTACGACCGCTGTATCTATTCTATATGAAGCAAAGAAAGTGTGCACCAATAAGCCACTTAATTAAGCTATCTAATCATAAAATTCACACATCTAAAGGTTAGTATATAACTTTTTATTTTTTCTATTGAAAAGAAAAAACTAATTTAATTGCTATTGCAAGAGTCATATCTGTTGGACAGAGATTTTACAGAAATCTGCCTTTGTTAAAAATTTTTTTTATTGTCCAAATGGCACGGAAACAGAAAAGAGGTTAAAGGTCTACCATTTCATAACCATTTCTGTAAGATATCTCATATTTCGCAAGTCAGGAATGTAACATCTCGTACCTTGTGTGAGCGTGAATGATTAACAAAAGTCCTGGTTTGATCCTCACCCCATATATAACCCGATAAGGGAAAATGAGAGAATTTAAACAAAAGACTCGAGAGAGAATATTAAATGTTCAAAAGTGCTGTAACAAGAAGCTATGTGCTAAAAAATAGCTCATATGACTAAAAAGTTCAAGTTTGAGATATTTAGCTCTACTTCATCCAAAAGGAGTTTAAAAGTTTGTATTCCATTCGAATGATTGAAGTGGCAAATGTCTGCTCAGTTTCTACTGCCATTCTGATTGACTTACATCAATAGATTTTGCTGGCAAAATGCAAACCTAATTTTGATACTAATGTAGATGTCAATCTGATAAAAATCTTTGATTAAATCGATTGTAAATCTGCTAGTATACCATTGACATTTCTCTTACTAAATGCTATATGTAAATTGACTAATGAGTAGAGTTTCAATATGAATATTTTTTACAGTTATGTCTCATGGCGAGTACGAAATGCAGGACCCTAAAACGCCAGCTGATATGTAGGTAAAATACATATTCTTACTTCATATAAGACTTTTGAAGTGGATAAATTTTTTAAACTAATTTTATTCAATATAAAATTGATAACGTGTTAAAACTTTCTAATCTCAGCATGAATCATATTTTATCTTCCAAGGAGATGAAAGGGATAATTTTTAAAGTCATCTGTTTTTACAAGAGATAACACAAATTTGCTTGAAACTTTCAACAGTGATGAAACAATTTTATAATAAATATAATAATTTCTCGCTGATTAGAGCTTTACTCGTGTTAAATTCCATGAATCCTTGTTATTGATTCTATTAAATACCATTAATAATATAATTTATTGTGGCGACATTGTGTTAAGTTTCTAATTGATGTTTGTCAGATAATCACTTCTCTTTCCAGAGTTAATGTTACTTTTATTGACAAAACGGGCAAGAAAGTTAAAGTAAAAGGGAAAGTAGGAGATAACATACTTTATCTGGCTCATAGATATGAAATTGACATTGAGGGAGCATGCGAAGCTAGTCTAGCATGTACTACTTGTCATGTATATGTACACCATGATTACCTGAACAAGCTTCCAACTCCTCAAGAAACTGAGGACGATCTGTTGGATTTAGCACCCTTCTTGAAGGAAAATTCTAGGCTAGGTATATTGCATTTATCTTTCCTACTGTTAAAATGTTTTTATAAATATTTATTAATGTAACTGTTCCTCAATATATAATAAAATGCTGTGTATTCTCTTGCTTCATGTCTTCATGAATAATTATTATTTAAAAACTCTATGTACATTTAGCAGAAAAAAGCCCAGAGTCACCACTAGTTATATATAACTCATATGAATAATTTATTATTTTTAATCTAGATGTTATTTTTTACATTAGTTATAATCCGTTTAATTTAAATACATTAATTTAATTTAAATACAATAAATAAGGCAGTTGGGAATATCTCTCACTGTATAACAAGTGTTTTGAAACCATTTGCAATTATTTCGATTTGATGTCTTGTTCATACTTTCGCTTTTAATAAGAATGCAAACTTAGTATTGTAAAATTCATTTATTACTAAAAGTAATAATCAACATTGATTATTATTAAACGCAATCTTCTTTGAAAAATATTTTTGTCACTCTATCTGCTATTCAGCTTGCAAATATTATATGTTATATTCTAAATAGATAAGAAACCTTTGCTTCTAGTTTTGTGTATGTGTACGTTGTGAGGAATAAAAGAAGCTTTAACATATAATATATAGCTTCATGAACATGGATAAATAATCTTGTTTTTATTTATAGGTTGCCAAATAATTTTGAAGAAGGAACTAGATGGCATAGAGCTAGAATTACCTAAGGCGACCAGAAATTTTTATGTAGATGGACATACCCCTACTCCACATTAGAAAAATTTTCGTTTTTTATTAAATCAGCCTAAGTAAACACTTACAAATGTAAATATTTATAATATCGTTTATTTGTAAACGTATTTTGTAATAAATAGCGTTACTAAAGTTCAATATGTGATCTGTTGTTCGAGCATTGTCACACATTAGATTATATGTGTTAGATTCAACAACTTATTCGTTGGTCTGCCACTCGATTTAACAGTGTAAACTAGGTCATACTATAGTTCTGACCGTACGTGTGCCGTATGTGTCTTCGAGGAAAAAGTTATGAGTAAGTTATGTTGTTAATAGACTAATAATAAGAATATTGTCATTTTTAAGCAGTTTAAATGTATTTCGGACAATATTTACTATAAATCATCTTTCACCAAACGACTTCTGGTGGACCTCTAGGGAGGTCAAGGCCATTGACATTTTCCATTGCTTTATTAAAGAGTTATTAAAAAAGAAGTTTCATAAATGCTATCACGAGACACGGTAGTATCTCACACCAAGTATAATAGAAGCGTAGCTAGAATCTCGCGCGCGAAACCGATCGTGTGTAGTTTACGCGAGTACCCGGGTTGACAGGCTCTCAGATTTTCGGTTCTCAACAACGGCTGATTCGACGAAAAGTTTTTATTTTTCTCCTACGTGCCCAATGAGTGGAGATATTGCAATGCAAAATTCGAGTTGCTAAATCTTAATGTCTCGATTACACAACCCCACAAAAAAATTTGTCTGGGTCTAAAGCCTCGTCTACAATTACCCAGATAGCAAAATGATGCAAACTTTGTGCAAAATTTGTAACAAACTCGAGCACGCCTTTGTAGCAAAATTGGAACAAGGTGTGTCCGGATTAAGCTTAGTTTTTGCTGACAAAGGGTGTCTCTCAAGTATGAAAACATATTTTTCGCAAATAACATAAGAAGCCTTGATTTACACGGCACGACAGCAAATTTGTGGCAAAAACAGGGCAAACCTTGCCATGCACGGCGTGACAGCAAATTTGTAACAAGAACAGGGCAAACCTTGCGATGCACGCCATGACAGCAAATTTGTGACAAGAACAAAACATATAATAAAAATAATAAAATTAATGCAATTTTAACTAATAAAATTCATTTAGAAAAAATTTTAAATGTACAACCCGAGCAGAAATTTCAGTAGGGTCCTGGTAGGGGCCTAATAAGGATGCCTTAATGCCTGGTCAGGCACTCATTAGGCAGCCCTGACAGGGCCCTGACCGTAAAATATGTAACGTCGAGAATTAAAATTACCTGATCAGGTTTTCCTTATCAAGACCTCATGACTTGCCCTTTGTCGCGCCTTACAATTTCTAATAGGGGGTGGGTAGGCTTCCTATTCAAAAATTCTTAAACTAATTTTTAAATTGTGTTAAATTACGTAGTCATCAAAAGTATATTCAGGTTATTGAAGTTTATCCATGATCCAGACAACTCGCTGTCGCATCATATCGGCTCGCCTCTTATACTAATACGGGATGATTTTTACATACGAGAAAGACTAACGCGCGGTCGCCACGTCGCGGCAGTATGTGGTACTAGTGCTATCTATTCAAGTTAACGTTTATCAAATTCTATGAGGCAATCAGGCGTACCGGATCAGGCACCACACATTTGCTGTCATGTCGTGCGTATATCAAGGCTTTACCCATTTTTGCCACAAATTTGCTGTCATGCCGTGTATATAAAGGCTTGTCATGTTATTTGCAAAAAAACAAACTTTATCTTAACATTACGTGATTTGTTGCCATATTGACATAAAATTTCTGTTACATGGTGAATAGCATTATTTGATGCTCCTTTTGTGCGTAAAATTTATGGACAAGTTTTTCTATCATTTGCAGCATCCTGTGACGAAAAATTTTGCCACAAATTTGTTCGAAACTTTTTGACACAGCAAAACAAAACAAATGTTTTCAGATTATTGTTGTAAAAATTGAAGCAAAGCTTGCCGTAAAGCTATGACAAAACATGATTTTAGCATGCTTGGTTATCTCGGAATAGTCGCACAGGTTGTGTCGCATGTCGTGAGTAATAATGTCGCAGGAAAGTTTGTCGCATGTCGTAAGAGTGTCGCTGAACGAGTGTCTACAATAGTCGCAAAGATTCGCGATAGCGTCAAATCGATTGCAGCCACAA